CCCACATGTCGGTCACCTCGTGAGCCAGGTTTGGTGATGCCAGATATTTTGTCTGCTTATCTGTTTCGGCTTTCAGGAGGTTCTCGTCATAAGGAATGGAAATGTCGATCAAAAATATTTGACTGTGCTCGGTCCATCAGCACAATATCAGGCTTATTCGCAAGAATAGACCTGTCTGTGATGATAACCCGGTCCCAGTAGAACCTGGCGCGTTCATTTTCAAACACGGCTTCCGGCGAGTACTTATAATAAGGCAGTTTCCGATCCACGAGACCGTATTTAGCTCCTGGTGTAGAATCCTGGCCACTAGGTTGTGCCTGTGCAAGTACTCAGAGTTAGAAAGCGGCGAACAGCCGGAGATCGCATGCATAAGTGACTTGAATCTGTTGGAGCTTGTCGTCTTCCATGTCGTCGATGTCGCCGGTGCCATCTTTTACGATGTATCTCCGATAGTTGTTTTACTAATAATAACCTGATCCTGTATTGCACCGACAAAACCCTCGGTTTCCCCAAAGAGGTCACCAATACGTAGCCAGTGGAGGGAGGCAACTGTGTCTACGAAAGGCTCATGAAAAGCCTTGTAGAACCTCCCGTGGAGCTGCTTCTCTTTCCATACGGTCTCCAGGTCGGAAATGCACTGTACTGCTGGATCTTGCCATTGCTCGTTGGCTAAGGATACTCGTAGAAGGGTTAGTCCCTTATCACACGAAATGACGTCCCAATAGAATGGTTCATCCGACTTCGTCAGGAAGTAATTACGGAGGCTGCACACTTCGCGATTATGCATGGTGAGAGCGCTTAAAAAGCCGCGCCCACCATGCAAGTAAAGCGGCAAGTACAGCGTCATTACTGACGATCTCGGATGATACATCCTGTGGGACGTCATAACAGTGGAGACTTTTCTATCCAGAGCGTTCAGTTAGGTCTGGTTCCACCTGAGTATGAGAACAGGTATGACCCAACGGTTATATGCGTGTCTTATTAACACCCGACAAAAGACTGATAAGCACTTTTTTCAAGCGTGCATAAAACACATTGCATACTGACTGTTTCATGTCCGCCTTATCGATACCTATGTTCTGTGACATACCCAGATAACGGTACGTTTCAGCTTCGGATAGGGCCCTTATGTTGATTAGCAAACATAAGTATGCTTTTATCTGTCATCTATGCCCTCAGAGTTAGAAACCCTGCCCCTTTCGACATGGAGGACCGCACACTTAACCGTCCCCAACTTCGTTCTAATAGAATTGCTAAAGTCACAAGTAATGTTTTGCAATTCCATAAGATGAGAACGACTGGAGGCAAATAACTTGAGATCATCCATAAAGAAAAGGTGGGTCACTTTTGTACCGTCTTTCCGAAGCTAAAATTCCCTCCCGGAAACCTCCAGTAAGGTACTGAGAGGGTTCATCCCCCTGGAAGATACCCCTAAGGATAAGATCCTTATGTGGTTTTCCGCAGCCGTCATCTGCTCGCCTAGAAGTGGTAGAGCCATGCTGCAGCTATATTATGGTTGTAGCAAGAATGGGTTGGCTCGAACGGGGAAGGTCCACGCTCTCACAGAAAATAGCAGCTTAACGCTGCTGTGTTTCGTATGGTGAGTGTAGAGAACCGGAGACCCTTTTTACTGGCAATGAGGCATTCCATCTTAGTCCTCAAGGGTGACAACGCATCTGCATCTTGAGTCTTTATTGAGGATAGATGTAGATGTCTATGGGTCACAGTAACCACTTACCATCAGATGGATTGTGTGCTCGTTTGTCACCCGATCCTATAAAAAAAAAAGATGACAAAGGATCGTACTCCACTGCCCCATACACTGCCCGAGGAAGTCTCGAACTGTGCAGGCAACCTTGAACAGCTCGAGGGCCCTCTTCAGCCATTATGAGGCACCGAGTAGAATGCCTTTTTCTAGACCTCTTCAATGAGGAGTGGTTCTGTGATTCCTCCATTTTGAGCGCGCGACATCACCTGATTTGTGTTAAGGTGACGAGTGATACTCGCGTTTAAAATGGATGTTAGTGTCTTGTATATGGTAGATAGACACGTAATATATTTGCTTGGGTCTGTGGTATCTTTGTCTTTAGGGACCAAATGAGTGATCCCAGTAGTGAAGAGTGTCGGCACAGCGTTACACACCACGAAACCCTTCAGCCAGTAGTGATGCAGTCCGTCGAACCCCGGTCTTATCTAGTTCGGGGCTCTTCGGACTGCCTCAGCTATGTCGTCCGGCGTTATAATGACGGAGTCCATGGGCGTAACATTCACACACTGACACATCACAACTTCCGTCCAAGGGCCCTCGCTGTGTGCGACAGTGTCGTCCTGATTCGGTGCTGGATCCGTTCCACGTACCATTGATCGCTCCAATCATTTATAGAGCCTCTTCTGATCACTCTGGAAAAGACGATTCTGGTTGAACCGTGTCGACCTCTAGGTATATCGCCGCTCCATCAGTTTTTACATTATATCCGGCTGGGACAAACTGATATTTGTCCCAGCAAACGCCAACATGACAGAGCGTACAATTTTCGGCTTATTATTGCCCAACCTGAAGCTATCAGCCTGCCGATGAGGGCCCTTGCCTTTGCGGTACGGTCCTCAATCCTTCTTCTCCAGCCTGGAATAGCGCTACTTTGCCCAGTAGCACGTACCAATGCGGCAAACTGCCAAAGCGATGCTAAAAAGTATTGGGTTTGTACCGCAAAGGTGGGTTCAGGGCCGTCATGACATTCCGATTTCGCCTGCTTAGGGGTACGCGCGGGAGTCGCGGTCGATTTTAGAGAGGCATACAGCGCGTTTCCACAATCACCTCCTCCAATTTACTCCTTATCTGCCCTAGTTTGTGGGTGACCATTCCATCATTGCCTGAATTAAACGGGAAGCTTCATGGCGACCACCACATGTGGCTGCTATTCAGTGCCTGAGGGTGCCCAGCTATAGCCGGTTTATTCGGAATAGCCTCAAGCCTTAGTCGTTCGATTTCGGCATCATCAAATATTTTCGAGTGCAAGATGTACCGAACTCGGTCTGCCAGGATTTGCTCTGTGATACAGTGTGTGGAAATTCATCCTTCCCCAAACTATTGGAAGTTCACTTAATATTTAATATACAAAATATAACAAATAATGCTATGAAAAAAAATATTTTTATTTAAAGTCAGTAGGTACCAACTAAAAATTATTTATCCAATCACATTTGTTAAAAACACATACATTTTTGTTTGTGAAATTGTCAATAACATTGTTATAGTTTAAAGATGTAGCAATAAGTTTCATTCAATGTTAAGTATCACTAACAAATTTAATCTTTTATCTGTCATGGTTGAGTGAAAATAATTTTTCACTCTTTAGGCAAGAAAACATCGCTCACCACTGCAATTGCCGACTGCAGTCAATACTCACATTCATTGTTTAAGAACTTTAGTGCGCTTCCTTGAATCTCACGCCCCTAGGCACATGTCTAGTTGGCCTTTAGGATAATCTGCCACTGAGTAAGGTTCTACCACATATAAATGCCGTCAGGAACATGCTGCTGACTATATCTTGTTTCAAAACTCTCTGTTGCCTCCTACGACACCCATGGGATATGGGGAGGGTGTATTATTATTTTATGGCAACACTACTCTGCAAATCAGCTTTCATTTCAAAAATATTTCACAGTTTCATTTTAAAAGAGGCCCCTGTACACTTTTACACCAAAACTAGAATTAGTGATACCCTAGATTTCTATTATTTGCTCATAGCTGTGGTTATTAATTGCTCATAGCTAAGTGTGTAAATGATATAAATTTCTAATATAAACAACTCCCAAAACTTTCAATATGCCTCACCAAGCTAGCCGGGGTTTCCTATAGTGACTCTCTGACAACCTCTGACAAAATTTCCATTTACCATTTTTTTTACAATTCTCAGCCAGCATCTAACTACAATCCCACCTGACTTAACAAAAGCCTATTCACTCTTGCCTTGAAGACACCCACATTGTAATTAGATGGAAAGACAGATGCTGGCAACTTATTCCACTCCTTTCCTCTATGCATGGCGAGCTATGTACCAAACCATTTGGTTCAAATGTGTTTTAAGTCTACAACAAAATGGTGGAGATCGGACGAATGTCTGGTTGTCCAATGGTGAAAGGGAGAAGGAAGAATTAAATTATCATACCAATAAATATATTATAATAGATGTAGATGTCTATGGGCCACAGGAACCACTTACCATCAGGTGGACTATGTACTTGTTTGTCACACTTATCCTATAAAAAAAATTCTGATATATGTATCAGGGGTTTTAAGGAGATGCTTCTCTTGAAATATTAACTTCACCTACATAACAAAGTGCATACTGCTAATCAACAAATTGAGGCTTTGGTCACCTACAAACAGCTCTATATTTACTCCAAACCCTACAAATTGGTAATAAGGTATAACATTACAAATTATTATTTATTCATTTTTATTAAAATCTGGCCATGATTAAAAAAAGCTATTTCAATATCTAAGATGTTCATTTACCAGTGTAGTTTAAATGGATTCTCTTACAGCAGCTCACAGGCCAAGTCTGTATCTTAAATTTTCAAAACCGGGTAAGTGAGCACACTACACCTGACAGTAAGTGGTTGCTATGTCCCATAAACAACTACATCTATCCTCGTTTGTGAATCAAAATACAGTTTCATTTACAGCCATGAGAACTAAGATACGAAACACAGCAGTGTTAAGCTGCTATTTTATGCTGGTATTATGTGAGAATACAGATAGATATCTAAAAAAATCAGTATTTATAGCATAATATAAAAGTAACAGTGTAGTCAGTAAAGAAAGAATATTGTATTATACCAAAGATAAACATCTGTAAAAATTTTGCAAATAACTATTAAGTTTTATGAATTATAATAAACACTAAGCATAAATTAAAATAAGCAGCGAAGTATGTAAGGTAAGATATGATATAATGCAACTATTTATATACAATGTTCCACCTATAGAAACTTACCTTTTAAAGTCCTGTTATATGCAATACGATCGCTCAGATAAACGTTTATAGCCAGCGCCTTTTCAGATTCCTCCCCAAGGCGTTTTGCTTCCCCGACTAAATGTGCTGCTACGCCACCTTCACCAAGCCCTGGAACTATTCGTGCTTCATCCTCCAAAATTTGTCTTTCAAATTCATCTTGAACCATCACTAAGTCCTGGGCGCGTGCTGAACGTTTACCGCCGCGCCATTGTTCAAATAAAGTAAGAATTGTGAGAATTAACACTAAAAATATGCCCACTTTGATCACATGGTAGCATTTACGTAAGGGTAAATACATTTTATTTAACTAAATATATATACATTCAGAATTAGAAACAACACAACCGGAGCGGTGAACGATCGTCTTTGACTTTGACATTTTATTGTTTACAGTTTTACTTTTTAAACAGGAAAGTTAAACGTAAATACTTCATTCAGCCTTATCACCTTCAGATTTGTCATTATACCGCCAATCGGTATGTTTACAAACATGTTAAAAACATTTGTAGCTGTATGAGATTTTCATAAAGACATATGATAACGTGCGATTTCGCTTCAACAGGATATTGTTTCTTAAGGATTCTTAAGCTAGGTGCCATTTTTAGAAAATCATTGATCAAATGATCATCAAGCGATACCTTATAACAACTTTTTTCATTCATTGCCTTGCTTTAAGCCAGTCAGGTATTTTCATTTATTTTATGCATATTAAGGTTTATCAGTCTTTAAATAAGCTTTTAATATCAATTCAAACTTAAAAAAAAAAAACAGGATAAAACAGTAAAATGATAACTTCAAAACATTAAACTACTGTCTTCAAATGTTTCATAGAATTATGTAGTAAATGCAATTACCTACTGTTTGATTTACGAAAAATTGTCTATATTTAAATAAGTTGGTTATTAAGGGAAAAAGTAATTAAAAGGAACTATTTATTGCTATTTCAAATTATAATCATAAATAAAAATTACTCATTATTACTAATTTCAACATTTTCTGCCTCATTTTTTTGTTAAAATCATACATCATGCTTCTTGAATTCATTATGCTTTTCAGTTGCATTAAATGAATAACATTCCATAATTTCTGATTTCGTTTGTAATATGTCTTTGATTGTCTTCGCTAGTACTTCTTATTGATTTGTGGATGTGAACATTTTATTTCTTAATTTAGTTTTAATGAAAATATTTCATCATCACCATCATTACAGCTCTTCACAAGTTCACTGCTAAACATAGGCCTCCCCAAGGAATGCCACAAAGCACGGTCCTGAGCCATCTGTATCCATCGACTTCTGGCATGTCTTACCAGGTCGTCGTTTCAGAAGCGGATTAATTGTCGAAAGCGCTGATAAAATAAAATATTTTATAAATGATAACCACGTATTTTGCAAATAAAGTAGGTTTTAATTTGTAATATCGTTCAGTGGAAAAACATAAAAGTGGTGTTAAATAAAAATATACGCTAGGAAGGTTCATGTAACTAAAATCCTGGAGAATCCCTTACTGGGTATCTACGCCCAAACTATTTTTCTCCTGGGCGTGGATGTCCAGGCTGCCCCAGAGCAAGATCACGACGGCACCCCATCTAATGCTAGCTGTGGATTTCTGCAATATAAGGGGACTTCATTCAAACCGTAACGCTGTCCACCACCATCTCAAAACTGCTAAGCCGGCCTAGCTCTTTCTCACCGAGACGCAGTCCACTCTGGCTGACACATCTTATTTTTTTACCCAGATTATAAACTGGGACCTTCTTTTCTGCTTTGGGCCGGAGTTTTTGTTTTTTATACGATAAGGGAGACAAACGAGCACACAGTCCACCTGATGGTAAGTGGTTGCTGCGGCCCATAGACATCTACATCTACCCTCTAAAATGTAGATGCGTTGTCACCCGTGAGGACTAAGATGGAATGCCTTATTTCCAGTAAAAAGGGCCTCCGGCCACCTGCACTCACCAAGCGAAACGCAAAGGTAAACCTCTACTTCACGCTGGTATTCTGTGAGGTCGTGGTACCACCCCGGTTCGAGCCGGCCCATCCGTGCAACAGCAAAAGCTGCCGCGTGGCTCTACCACTGTTAATTAAACTGTTAAGTTTGTGTGTACGTCAAAGAGAATATCAGTATTCGACGCCTCAGCAGTCTTTAATGCAGGGTCCTGTCCATCCTATATATGGCTACGCATGGACGACGGCCACGGCCACCCCCGCTTCTATAGATGCATTTATAGGTCCCACAGAGGTAATGTCAAGGCAGAAAGATTCATCGACCACGTCTAAGTGGCTACAGATTCCGTGCTATAACTGATCCCAACCGCAGAGATCGTGCTCCTTGGCGATTTCAACGCCCACCATGTCGAATGGCTCGGTTCTCGTACTACCAACCATGCGGGGAGATCAATTTACGAATTTGCCTTGGCATATGGTCTGGTCAATACAACTGGTCACTTCGCCCACGCGGATTCCAGATGTGGAGGATCATGCACCTTTCCTGTTGGCACCTTCTGCTGACCTCTTATCCGGAGAGATATCAGGTATCTGTCTATGCATTTCTTGGCTCTTCCGATCACCGCCTAACCTGTAGGCTTTAGCCGTGTGTGGTACTATAGATCAGCGAATTGGGATGGGATGCAGGCTTTTTATGCACACCCATGGATGATTTGCTTCTGGCTGGATGATCCTAACATCGTTGCTGAGTCTGTCACCGATGCAATGTGGTGCTTCAGGGTGTAGAAATTTTCATGCCGTCATCTGTATTTATTTATTTAATATTCTTCATTGCAGAAAAAAATTACAGAAATTTAAAAATTATTCATTAAATCGATTACAAAGAGTTAAAATAGGTCAAAATACTAGTAAATACTTAAATACATAATTTACTAGCATATTGACCTATTTATATTACGTAGGGCAGTGTACTTGGATACTATTGTGGAGCGCCACCATTAATGCGCCCTCTAGTATCGAGTAGCAGAACTAGGAGAATCAAGATCCTTTTAGAAAATTTCTATGGTAGAACTTGTAGTGTTATGCTACTTACATATCATTTTACATTATTTTAAATTCATTTTTCTATTCTGTTTCGATTTTCTGCATTCACTTCAAAACTGGATATTTTACATCACCTTTATTTCCATAGGATCCTGTAACGATTTTAAACCATAAGAACACAATAACAAATCATTTCTACTTCGTATTTTCACATAATCAGCACTTTTAAATTGGTGTCAATGGAGTCTACCTTTTTTCGATCTTTTAGTTAGTTTTCCGTAACTCTACAATCTCGGGCTTTGTGTGGGCAGTTGCGCTACCTTTTTTCCTATATCAATAATATCTCATTTTCCACTTAAATCTTGCCGTTTTCTTATTACAAGCCTAAAACCAAAATTTGACATGTTTTGATATTGTTGTTTATTTGGTCTCCATAGCAATTATATTCAAATTTGCTACCGGTCTGTTGTTTCTATTTCGATAATTCCACATAAATACTCTTTTCTCTTGACCATTTACAAAAAATTTGCGTTTAATTTAAATAATTTTTCCGTTCTCTCTAGAAAGGTATAAAAGCCGAACAATCGGTGAAGAAAGGCGGTCTCGCTTCAGTTCTCGAATTGGAAGCATCTCCTAAAGGCCTTATCGCCGGGGCAGTGCGGCCCCGGGATTCTGCAAGCGTCTGTCCTGCCGGAAGTCACTAGACTCTACGACCCTCTGCTCTACCTGAAGTCGCTGGACTCTACAAACCGTTTCTCTGCCTGAAGTCGCCGGGATCCTACAAGTCTCTGCTCTACCTGGAGTCGCCGGAACCTGCAAACTTCAGTTCCGCCTGAAGTCACCGGAACCTGCAAACCTCTGTCCCGCCTGCAGTCACCGGATCCTGCAGGCTTCTGTGTTGTCTGAAGCCGCTGAGGATCCTGCAAGCCCCTGTCTGGCCTTAAATCGCCGGATCCTGCAATTACCACATTCTCCGGAGGTCGTCGCCTAGAGACGCCCACGCCTTTTCACCTACGCCGTGCGTGCTCGCTCCAGGCGCTGAGAGCACACCTTGGATCTTCAGCACTAATCTCTTTTTTTTATTACTTTTTTAAATAATCTGTAAATCGCATCATCCATCCTCATATTCATACTCCATTTTTGTATAAAATTGTAAATATATTTGAATTTTAAATATATTTTTTGTTTTTGTTGTTTTGTTGTTCTTAGGTTAGATTCTTTTTGCTCTTTATTGTCGCTTCACGACAAACTTTCTAGAACTATCGACACCTGGTCGGTCAATCGGAACCGGTATGTACTCGAACATTCTAGTTATTTCTACAGTAGAAGATTCTGGAACTATCTGAGACCCTATATAAGGCCGGTATAGACCGCGACCCGGGCCAGTGTTGAGTTGGCGATACATGCGAATACATCGAAGCGATACAACTGCGAACTAAAGTGATCAGAAGTACAATTGTGTTTTGTTATTAGTGTGGTTTTAAGTTGTAGTGTTCTGTAATTAAAGTATCAATTTTAGTAATTCACTCGGCACTTTTTAATTCTTCAGCAATAAACGACCCGTGACAACGATCCTAAAACAATTTTTTCCACTTTTTAAGTGGTAAGGGTTTTAAGTTTTGGTAAGTGAATGCTGTGGCTCATAGAACTCTACATCTATCCCCGATTAAGAATCAAAATACAGATGAGTTGTCACTTGTCACCCCTGAGGACTAAGATGGATTGCCTCATTTCCAATAAAAAGTTGTCGGTTCTCTACACTAACCGTATTAAATACAGGAGAATTATGCTGGTATTGTAAGAGTGTGGTTCTTCCCCAGTTGAGCTGACACATTGGTGCTACAACTATGATATAGATGAAGTATGGCTCTATCACTTATAATTTCTTTTTCGGTAAATTTTGTCGTAGGGCGTTCCGAGCGAGCGTCATCTTTTTGGAAGTTCCTCCACTTTTAAATTCGGCGCTGCAACTAGCAATTTTTCTGAACATGCTTTACATGTTTTCTGTTTTCTTACTTAAATTCGAAGTATTCACCATAGCGGTAAGAGAAACATTCCCCACTAGATCGGGGGTAAGGAACGCAGGAAGTCGTTGAATGCAGGACGCTCATGACTGTGCTTTGTCTCGTTTTCACTTTTAACTTTATGAAAAAGTAAGTTATGATAATAAGGCGAATATACAACAACGACGTCTTCACATGTCTGCGTGGGTACGCGATGCAACGGTGTCGTACATAAGGTGTCATCTACACGACACCTAATGCTGCTGTGTTTCGAATATGACGAGAACCAGGAACAATTTTTACTGATAATGAGGCATTCCATCTTAGTTCCCAGGGGTGACAATGGATCTGAATTTTGATTCCTGATCGAAGATAGACGTGTCTATGAGCCAAATCATTTATTACCATTAGGGGGATTGTGTGCTTGTTGGTCACCTTTATTTAAAAAAATCTAACGATAATGCGGTTGGATAGTTTAGTGTCCAACGTAATGTAAAGTTACCATGACGCGGAGAATAATCAAAACACATTTAAATACTACTAACCAAAATTTGTAATTTTGGATAAGCGAGGTTTGGATTCTAGAATTCATGATACATCATCTACTTTGGCCACGTGGTCATCTCAATAACCAATGTTTGAAGGAGAAGGAAGAAATCAAAGATTTTTGTACTTATTTCATTTAGCGCAATATAATTTCACAATTTAAACGTTTTCCATAAATTTCAAGTTCTAATGGAATGTAAAAACAATCACTCATAAATTAAAAATATATTTCCTGTTATAATAACACATTTCTTTATATAATATACTACTTTAAATTATGTTATAAAAATGTGCCTATTCATTTAATTTTAGCAAAAAAAAATATTCGATTTAAATAAACAGAAGTATTTTATACCTATCTGCATTTTACCTACGCAATATAACAAAAATACGTCGAAGATGCGAGACGTCTAATGCCCGCCAGATAGATACATACGGAATTCCGAAACGGAATTCTGAACGGGTCGGCCACACACATTCGGAGTCCCATTTTTGTCCGCAAAATTTCGAACGGAAAACTACTGTACGTGTGTGACGGGTCCTTGATTTTATATGGACTTGCTGCGTTCGGAATTCCGAATCGAAATATAGAAACGGAATTCCGTATGTATGTGGCGGGCCTTATACGAAGATAGCCAATACCACAAAGCGTGGTGATTACGGCACATCCTCCCTGAAACGGAAGAGGCATGCCTCGCAATTTTATGGGCCGCTCTACAAAAAAAAAAACTAAAACAAAATGTTTTATCACGTTGGGAAAATTAAATGGTCAAAATTACTGTAATGACACAAATATAGTGTATACAACTTATACTGTAGTCTCAGCATTTTGGAGATAATGATAATGATTTAGTTCAAAGTAAACTAACGGTATTATTCATAACTTTGTAAAGTATTGCATGAGAGAAAATTTTTATCTGGTGAATTTTATTATAAGCAGTGTTATGAAACGATTTTTTATACAATTTTTCTTATAAACGAAAAGACGTGCACTTATTATACTTTATGCTATATATACTTTAGCTTTTGGATGTTTCATTAATTATTGGAGGGGATGATTATCGACTGTCCACAGAAAACAAAACGGTTGGCCACCTTAGTAATTAGTTTTATTTAACATTTTAATTATGTTTTACTTCAGGACGTTATATCAATTAAACCCTTAATGTAATATGTTATTCAGACCTTTTGGGGAGGCACCAAACTATTAAGGACAGGTTTTGTAATAACTAACTCCCATTGATAAAGCGACACTTAACACAAACTGTTACTTTTCTGCCGACTTCCAAAAAGGAGCCGGTACTCAATTCGACTGTATGTTTTTTTTTTTCGTTTTTTTTTTTTTTTTTATGTGTGTTACCTCAGAACTTTTTTCTGGGTGAACCGATTTCGATGATTCTTTTTTTATTTGAAAGCTGGTACTTCTCGTGTGGTCCCATATGAATTTGATCAAGGTCAGACCAATAGTTTTTAAGTTATTCTTAAATAACTTATATTGAAGTCGGCTGTACAAAATTTTTAATTTTAAATTATTTATTAAATTGACATAAATAGCTGCACTAAAATTGATATAAAAATGATTATACAACATGTAACAAAAACCCCGGTGGTTCCCGTTAAGTACGTTATCAGGATCAGTATTCAAACCTATAGAAATAACTTTTTTTTTAAAAACTTGAACAATAATTTTTTTATTTTATTTAAAAAAAAATAATTGTATGCAAAATAAACTTTACATAGATATTACACATATTAAAATAAGGCTTCTAAATTACGCATATGTATATGAATACAAACAAATACAAAATAATCCATACATAACAATTATCCTTACTACATATATACATATACACACACAATACATATATACATACATACATAATATGTATGGATAAAGGTAGCAGTATTGACATTATGTTTACGACATTGTTTTCAAAAGATGTTGCCGGACCAATCTTTAGAAAGGTTATTTTATTTGATCCTTTCCTAATGTCTTCAGGTAAGGAGTTGCAGAGAAGTGTAGCATGAACAGTAAAATAATTGCCGATAAAGCCAGTAAAATGGAGTACAACTGAAATCTTCAGATTAGTTGAAGAACGAAGTACCTTGTCGTGTTATACTTCGCTTTTAGCACTAATAATGTCACAATAATATATAAATTTAGATGGGAAAAACATTTTTATTATATTTTATTTTATAAACCATAACATTATACTACTTATTTCTCCCCGGGCAGTAAAATACAGCCGCAATGGTTGATACATATAAGATAATATAATTATACATATCTCATATACCTACTGTTGAGGGGTTAAGGAATATTATTTTTATTATGTGTATATAATTAAAACAAAAAAGAGTATAACAGCACAATCCAGAGATCCCACGTTAAGAAACTGATAGGAATGAGTAATTGATTATTATTTTATAATTATGTACAATAAATATATTATAATCACTATTTACTGTATAAAACTAACTTATTTGCCTCCCTCATTATTAACAGACTTTGAAAAATCTTTAAATAACGCATCTAATGAACTCATTTGTACTTTGGATAGTTTAGCTCCTTTCATGTCCAAAACTTTGTGGAACTCCGCCAAAGTGCTTTCAGGCAATAGCTGCACGAACTGCGCAACAAAACCTTCGAGATTCCCGTCCAGAGGAGCCATGACTAATTTCAAAATCATTTCAGCCTTCGTCATCAGCTTTATAACTACCTTTGTGTAAGTAGCAGGCGCTTGACGTTTCACCTCGGACCCAATGGAAGGCAGCTCTAATAAGGCCGTCTTCAGCATATGCGTATCTAGTAACAACTGCTCAGATCCTACGGTAGATATTGGCTTGCATTTGTAGACGTTTTGTATGAATTTTGGAATGAAGGAATTCGCAAATCTGATACAGAATTGCGTGAAGTACTTTCTCGAGGACGCCAAATTATCTCTCAAATTGGGAATAGTATTCTTCAAGTGCATTATTATCTGTGTCACGTACGAGCTTTGGTCTCCGACATTGTCGAAGTGCAACCATGATATCTTTGTCATCGCTTGTAGTGCTGGCTCACAGGCCAGCTCTAAGTCCTGAACCAGCAACTGAATGCAGTTGCTTATCATTTTGTGGAATAAGTCTTGTTCTGGAACTAAATCTATCTTGTCCGCTAGAGCAGGGGCTACTTTCTCCTTCAGCTTCTGTTCCAAATGTATGGTGGTCTCCAGGCAGTATTCCGATGTAGTTATTACGCTTGTTATTTTTGCTATTTCTTGTTTTGTGTACCTGTGGGTATATAAATAATTTATTCTTAAGTAATACTAAACATGTCTCAATAGAATGTCTTAGTTTATTGATTCATCAGGCTTATTTCGCACGAATTACGATAACGATAAGAAGATGCAGATTAGTGTATATGTTAATTTTTTTTATATTCTACGAAGTTAGCGCTTATCTACGATTCCACCTGATGGTATGGATGTAGCCTAAGATGATCAAGCACACTGACTTAACAAAAGCCTATTCACTCTTGCCTTGAAGACGCACACTGTAATCGGATGGTAAGACAGATGCTGGCAACTTATTCCACTTCTTTGCTGTACGCTTGATGAACGACGTAGCGAAAATTAATAAACGGTTGCGGTTTTTAATACGGATATTGCATGTGCCGGCGTGGGTACGTGTGTGCGAGTATGTGCGTGTGCGAATATGCGTGCGTGTATGTTTGTGTGCGAGGTGTGTGCTTGTACGTGCGCACGTGTGTACCTGGTGGGGGTGGTTTAGTTTTCAGCAGCTTGTGGAGGTTAGTGACGAGGCTGGACATGCCAGGGCCAGAGATCAGTTCAATCAGCGACAGTATGTGTATTAGTATGAGGTTGAGCGTGAATTTGTGCAAGCATGTATGTGTGTATACCTGGTGGGGGTGACGTCGTCCCTCAGCAGCGTGTGCAGGTTGGTGACGAGGCTGGGCATGCCAGGGTCATAGATCAGTTCAATCAGCGACAGTATGTGTATTAGTATGAGCTTGCGCGTGAATTTGTACAAGCATGCATCTGTGTGTACCTGGTGGGGGTGGCGTCGGCCCTCAGCAGCGTGTGCAGGTTGGTGACGAGGCTGGGTATGCCAAGGTCAGAGATCAGTTCAATCAGCGACAGTATGTGTATTAGTATGAGCTTGCGCGTGAATTTGTGCAAGCATGCATGTGTGTGTACCTGGTGGGGGTGGCGTCGTCCCTCAGCAGCGTGTGCAGGTTGGTGACGAGGCTGGGCATGCCAGGGTCAGAGATCAGTTCAATCAGCGACAGTATGTGTATTAGCTTGCGTATGAGCTTGCGTGTGAATTTGTGCAAGCATGCATGTGTGTGTACCTGGTGGGGGTGGCGTCGTCCCTCAGCAGCGTGTGCAGGTTGGTGACGAGGCTGGGCATGCCAGGGTCAGAGATCAGTTCAATCAGCGACAGTATGTGTATTAGCTTGCGTATGAGCTTGCGTGTGAATTTGTGCAAGCATGCATGTGTGTGTACCTGGTGGGGGTGGCGTCGTCCCTCAGCAGCGTGTGCAGGTTGGTGACGAGGCTGGGCATGCCAGGGTCAGAGATCAGTTCAATCAGCGACAGTATGTGTATTAGTATGAGCTTGCGTGTGAATTTGTGCAAGCATGCATGTGTGTGTACCTGGTGGGGGTGGCGTCGTCCCTCAGCAGCGTGTGCAGGTTGGTGACGAGGCTGGGCATGCCAGGGTCAGAGATCAGTTCAATCAGCGACAGTATGTGTATTAGTATGAGCTTGCGTGTGAATTTGTGCAAGCATGCATGTGTGTGTACCTGGTGGGGGTGGCGTCGTCCCTCAGCAGCGTGTGCAGGTTGGTGACGAGGCTGGGCATGCCAGGGTCAGAGATCAGTTCAATCAGCGACAGTATGTGTATTAGTATGAGCTTGCGTGTGAATTTGTGCAAGCATGCATGTGTGTGTACCTGGTGGGGGTGGCGTCGTCCCTCAGCAGCGTGTGCAGGTTGGTGACGAGGCTGGGCATGCCAGGGTCAGAGATCAGTTCAATCAGCGACAGTATGTGTATTAGTATGAGCTTGCGTGTGAATTTGTGCAAGCATGCATGTGTGTGTACCTGGTGGGGGTGGCGTCGTCCCTCAGCAGCGTGTGCAGGTTGGTGACGAGGCTGGGCATGCCAGGGTCAGAGATCAGTTCAATCAGCGACAGTATGTGTATTAGTATGAGCTTGCGTGTGAATTTGTGCAAGCATGCATGTGTGTGTACCTGGTGGGGGTGGCGTCGTCCCTCAGCAGCGTGTGCAGGTTGGTGACGAGGCTGGGCATGCCGGCGGCGGAGCCCAGCGCCCCCAGCGACAGCGCCGCCCCGGCTCGCGGCAGTGCCGCCTGCAGCACGCTGCCCGCGTACTCGCGCAGATACTTTTGGAACACGCCGGCCAATTCTACGAAAGGCAGATGGACGATAAATTACCGGTGCACGTCGAACCAGACTAAAGCCTGTCACACACTACGCAGATACGATAAGATATCTGTATCTAAGCGCATATCTTTCAATATCGCTCTCTATGAAATTCAATGAACTAACACAAACAGTGCAGATAATTGATATTTTATCGTTAAGTATCTGTAAGCACCGACATATATCGAAAGATAGTGACAATATTATCTGCTCATACAAATATATCTGCAGATAAATACAGAACGGTCGCTGAAAAAATACGATTAAATTCGCATCGGTCCTTTTTAAGATTTGTGTGATGTTTTATATATTTTTCGCCTTTTAGTAAATGCTAATGCATTGCATCACGTGCATCAAAATCAAAATCTGAATCCTATTCTGGCGAGTTTTCTAGCAGATCTAGAAGCAATTTTGTCGCCAACAATGTAAATAACGAAACACTTATACCCTGTACAACATAGCTTCATCTTTTTGACAGATGGGTCTAGTGACGGTAAACAGAAAATATCTAGTATTACAAAAATAACGTTTTTATAACTGTGATGAGAATGTGTGACTGTATGTTTTAAACTCTTCAAAATAAATTAATTCATTCATCAATCAACTTGCGACGATGGGTTATATTATTCATATAAATTGTGCAATTGGATCACCAGCTTCCTTGCAGATCGGAGTATCAAGGTCTTTGTAGACGGTGCATGCTCCGACTAAAAGCCTATTAACGCTGGTGTTCCACAAGGCTGTGTGCTATCACCAACGCTGTTTCTTCTGCATATCAATGATATGTTGCTAACTGGTAGCATTCATTGCTATGCGGATGTCAGCACTGGTGATGCTCTATACACCGGCCGTGCCAATACTTCTCGGGAAAACGTCGTCGAGTACCGGAACAAACTTGTGTCTGAAGTCGAGTCTTTGCTGTACAAAGTCTCGGATTGGGGACGACTTAATCTAGTCCAGTTTAATCCTCAGAAGACACAATTTTGCGCGTTTACCGCTAAAAAGAACCCCTTTGTCGTGTCTCCTCAGTTTCAAGGCACTCCCCTTCTTGCCTCAGCCAGTATCGGAATCCTCGGAGTCGACATATCGAGTGACGTGCATTTTCGTGGTCACTTGGAAGAGAAGGCCAAATTGGTCTCTAAAAAGCTTGACGTGCTCAGCAGAGCGGGACAGTATTTCATGCCGGCACACCGCCTGCAACTTTACAAGGCGCAGGTTCGGCCTAACATGGAATACTGTTCCCATCTCTGGGCAGGGGCTCCCCAGTGCCAGCTCCTTCCACTTGACCGCATCCAGCGAAGAGCGGCTCGAATCGTCGACGACCGGGTCCTTTCCGATAGGCTCGATTCATTGGCACTGCGAAGAGATGTTGCATCCCTTTGCATTTTCTTTCGCATCTACCACGGGGAGTGCTCTGAGGAATTGTTCGGATTAATCCCAGCCGTCAAATTTCACGAACGCACATCGCGGAAGAACTCCCGATACCATCCACACCATCTGGATGATTGGCGGTCCACCACTGTGCGATTTAGAAGATGTTTTCTTCCTCGCACGACTTCCTTGTGGAATCGATTACCATTAGCGATTTTTCCAGACCGATACGACTTAGGGACCTTCAAGAATAGAGCGTACTCTTTTTTAAAAGGCCGGCAACGCATCTGCAATTCCCTCCTTGGTGTTGCAGTTGTTCATGGGCGGCGGTAGTCACTTACCATCAGGTGAGCCGCATGCTCGTTTGCCCCCTCTCCTATAAAAAAAAATATAATATTGAGTTAAAATCAAGCTTGAAAAATAAAATAAAATTTTCTCTTTAAAAAAATAGTTTTTAATCGGGAAGAGAAGCACAAGCACAAAGTGATTTTCATCGTCGGAGGCGTTGTTGCTAAATCGATAAAAATGATTTTAATTAAGGCTTCCTTGTATCCGATATTTGTAACAGTTACTGCCTGTTATTTGTGTCCTATCCGACCGAACGATGTAACATTGCACGAGCGTCCATTGTTTTCAGTTTTTCTATTTAAATGTTACTTTGAAGCAATAAAACCACTAAGATTTTCGGAAAATGCTTGAACCTTTAACACTTTTGTGTCGTGTGACTATTTTTAAAAATTTTAAAATTATTAAAATAGGAAAATATTATGTTCTTCATTGCAAGGTTATGTCGATCGCAAATTTGACATCTGTCAAAAAATCAAGCTATGTTGTACAGAGTATAGTATAAACAATCCGCTCCAAAAAACACGTCTTGTAAATTTGAATTATTTGAAGAGTGAATGTATAATTTCGTATATTATCGTATCAGCGTAGTGTGTGATACTTTCAGATAATTAAGTTTTTATACGCAGATAAAATTTTATCGTGTCTGCGTAATGTGTGACAAACTTTAGAAAACCAGTTTGGATTGGAAACATTGGTCAATAATGAATGAACTCTGCCATCAATTAGAAAGAATGCAATTTTACTTCAAACTAGTAATCCGCCCCGGATTCGCACGAGTGGTTTCTGGATATTGAGTGCAGCGCCACCTACCAGACTCAATTGCGAATCTAAACCATCCAGGAACCCACTCGAACGCACAGCAATTGGTTTTTATAGACAGTGTGGTTTCTTAGAGAGCGGTATTTGACGTTAAAAAGTTTTGCATCTTGACGGTGCCGCATAGTTCACGAACGTTTTTTTCGATACCGGTAATCGGTTACGATAAACAAAATGAGTTTCAACTCCAACAGGAGCACGATGACTACGAAACGTGTATGAACAGGGATCAAGAGCTCGTCTAGAATTAAGTAAATAATTTTTATTTTTATTGTGCAGAAAAGAAATTTGACAATATGTCAGAAAATTCAACAATATTTCGACGATATTAATTTTACATTAAAATATAAAAGTTACCAAGCATAGGCTCCCCGGTGGTGAGTCTTGCACACTGCACCAAGCATTTCTTATAGAACAGGAAGAGATCTGCACAACTAGCGATGACTGCTCCGCTGCCCCCTCCATTTATAGCGCTACTAGCTCCACTATTGGTGTTGCCTGTATCGGTTGATTTTGCATCCTAAAGATTACAAATATTGTATTCACCTATATGCTATTGAGATTATATATATACATAATAAAATTATTTAAACGAGATAATGAATGTAGAATTGAAACTTAAACTATAATATAACAAATTAAAAACTTAATTATAAATATATCAGTGACACTGTCTTTATTTAATACTAGCTGTTCCCCGCGACTTCGCTCGCGCGTAATTTATTACGATTGGATTTCTTGGGATGGATTTCTTGCACGCAACCCTAATTCTTTTCTAAAATAAAAGTAGCCTAAGTTATTTATTATAATATCAGCTATCTACCAGTGAAAGTCCGGTCTAAACCGATCCAACCGTTTCGGAAATTAGCCGATTTAAAAAAAAATCAAAATGTGTTTTTGTTATAAGTACCGTATGTATTTTCATTTGCTTATAGTAAAAAGCTGTTATTTCGATATTACAAACAGACACAATTTTATTTATTTGTATAGATTGCCCGTATTATGATGATGCTACAAAAAGGGCTCAGAATAAGTTATGCAAAGATTTTACAGAGTTTGTTTAGCACCAAATTGTATAAGTAGCGGCAAGAAAGTCTAGCGGTGACCGTTATTGCGCATAAGTCGCGCTGATTAGAATAGAAAAGAATAATTTTTTTATTCAATATAGATCACATGTGTAATTCTTATTGAAAGTCATTGTTTACTTTACCACTGGTTCGTAAAAAAACCTCTGTCCTGGGAAGAACCAGCAAGAAACCCAGCGGGACTTTTTTTTTAAAAACAAATTTTACATTAATGGTTGTACAAACTATATAAGTACAAAATTTATTTTAGAAATAGCTTGGAAGCGACCACCTCATTCCCAGGGCTTATTATCAACCACTTATTCATGTATACTATAATAACCCTTTTTATACAGTTTCAACTTAACAAAACATTTAAACTTGGTAATAGAGAGAGCCTGTACACTTTCCGGGACCTTGTTGTAATAGCGTATACATTACCCCAAGAATGAATTACTGATTCTGTGAAGTTGAGAAACTGGTATCACTAGCTTGTGTTTGTTCCTAGTGTTTACAGAATGTATATCACATTTTTTGCTAAAACTACCTTTGTTTTTGTGAACATACATTAAATTTTCGTAAATATACTGAGACGCCAAAGTTAATATATTTATTTCTTATATTTACGCGAACACTACACATTGAATGAAATTGTAATTGTAATTCATAAAATTAAAACTAAACCCAAGCATACTACTGCAAGACTTCAAGACATAGGTAGTTCATTCTGCGTAGATCGGACCAAAATTATTAATTAAAAAGCTGAAGGTACTCCGGATTAACTCTGAGATCGGGACGTCAATCACCTCAGTCTCCCGTGACCACGGTTGCTGGAAAGCAACCGAAACGTCGGGAATATAAAATAAGTTAATTAAACGCGATAAAATCCGTAAAAGTAGTTTCATTCAATATTGATTTCTTTAAATTTTTCTCTAAGAGACTCTCTTGGTTTTAGATTGTAAATAGCTCTTATGGCCCCCTTCTGTAAAACAAAAATAGTTTCTGAATCAGCCGCATTTCCCCATAGCAAAATCCCATAAGACATTACGTTACGGAAATAACTGAAATAAACTAATCTAGCTGTCTCGACACTAGTGAGACCTGTAATCTTTTTTACAGCATAGGTTGCAGAAATTAGTTTGCTTGCTACTTTGGACATATGGAGGCCCCACTAAAGCTTTTCGTCGAGAGTGATGCCAAGAAAAACAGTGGATTCAACAGGGCTCAGTTCTTTCCCATTTAAAAACACATTGGTACTCAGATTTTTAACATTCGTTGTTGTAAATTTAATACATTAAATTGGCTCGTGCATATCGTTTGCACGCGCTGATTGGCTCTCCAATCGCATTCATGGAAAACAATTTGTGCGCGTCCCCTCCACATTTCGTTCATCGCTAGACTTACGTGCCGCGACTTGTAACTAGGGAAAGTCTTAATGTGAACTTGCCGTTTACTTACCTGTATAAAAGTATCCATTAGTGATCGTAGACTTGTATCGAGACTGGTGATATATAGTGAGAGATACGGTTCAAAGCACCCACCAATCAGCCCCACCCACGGCGAACCACCCGCTGGCACGTCGTCAGTTTGGCTCTGATTATAAAAATAATTATTTTATTTCCGTTAAACACAACTCATCCGATGTTAATTGGTGATTGTGGAACATGGGCATTTTCATTAAGAGTGACATCTTATTTTCACTACGGCGAATACTGCATAAAACTATCTACTGTGCAAGATATTATAATTCCAGTAGTTTTTTAAAATGATTTCGTAAAATTAAGTAAAATTCATAGTTACCTCTTTACTGTCGTCATCGAAAGAATTTTGCTTTTCGACAGCCGTATCCACATTATCTGTTC